AACATGAAGTGCAAGAACTCATTTTTGAGCAGTGAATGAAATGTTATGTGAGAATTACCCCATGCTCTTGCATGTAAAAATTAAATCACTGAGTCACTTCTGTGGTTTTTAAGCTCCCTGCAACAAATATCATTGTTATACAGTACAGCGGATCACACACTATGGTGCACACAGGCTGCAATGTAAACTTTTAGCAAGACATGTAGCAAGTCAAGAATATCTTTAGGTATTATGGTAAAATTACACTAATCTAGGACTAAATAAATGTAAACATTTACAAAATATTACCATGAAAGATGATCTTTCCTTAATATTTTAGGCCAAAAATCATCAGGATATTATTTTAACCTGCAGTTGCTATTTGATATGTTTATTATTTATTATTTACAGGGATGGGCTTAGTAGAATCATCAGTCTTGTGATTCCTGTCCAATCCAATCGCACACAGAACTATCGCATCAAACTGCAGAAGTTTGATTTGTGGCGCCACCTGCTGGAGCTGCTAGTCAGGGGTCAAACGACATAACCTGATCGTCAACATATCAACACAGCTATATTTTTACCCTTAGTGTTAGAGCCATAAAGAACACTAAGAGATTTGTCTTTTTACTTTTGTAATATTTTTCTATAATATTATATTATTTGTATTGAGATACAAACTTATGGCTATTTGATAAAGTATTTAATATGTTTATTTAGTGATATTATATTATGTGCATGACGTTTCATATGTTCAGTAATGCCATACGTCATATGCATGCGTAAGCTACAGGAAAAAAGGATTAGAAAGAAGGAAGGGGCTTGATGGTAGACAGTCTTTTGACCGTTCTCAAACCATATTTATTTGGAAGCTTGGTAAAGTGTAAATAGTTCTTTTGTTTGTACTTAGATTTTTGTTGCTGTTTTTGTACTTAAATCCTTTGTGCCGAGTCCATATGGAAATGGTGGAGAACTGGAAGAAATAGATCGCCATTACACTTAGATTACAAAGATTGCGAATGCATCAACCTGCTTTTTGTCAGCTTAGCATAAGTGCAAATACTGTTTTATTGTAATGTGTTCTCACTTTAAATGAATCCTTTGTTTTAAATGATGCTTTTTCTAAATTAAAATTAAACCACACTGAGCTGAACTGAACCAAACTAAACTTCAATTCTGAAAACTGGACTGACACAGTTTCAGTTTACAAGAACTAATATGTAAGCTGCTTTGACACAGTCTACATTGTAAAGCGCTATAGAAATAAACATGAAATGAATGGAATTGGGGAAAAAGAAAACCTCCAGAAGAAAGTGAAATCTGAAACACACAAGTAAAACACACTATCACATCTTCACAAAACATTCAAGACAGAGACAACTAAAGCACACAGACTGGATGCTACTGTACATCATTAAATGACACATCTACAATATCTAAAAACCATCATGTATGTTCAGAAGATAAGGTCTCAGCGGATTGAAACAACACAAGGGTGAGTGATTAATAACAGAATGCTCATTTTTGGGTGATCTATGCCTTTAGAGCACAGCAGACATGTTCAGTAAATAGTATTTAAGCTCTAGACCAGAGGTCACCAATCTTGTTCCTGGAAGGTCGGTGTCCCTGCAGGGTTTAGCTCCAACTTGCCTCAACACACCTGCCTGGGTGTTTCAAGTATACATAGTAAGACCTTGATTAGCTTGTTCAGGTGTGTTTGATTAGGGTTGGAGCTGAAATCTATAGGACAGCGGCCCTCCGGGTACAAGTTTGGTGACCCTTGCTTTACACTGTAGCCCTGCACGGCCTTAAATCTAAGCCTTTGCCCGGCCCTGGCCAGTGACGCACAGGCTGTGGCCCAACCCGAAGCCTGTTTTTTTCCTACTAAACAACTTATAGTGTTACAGCTATTAATATAGACCTGATTTGTATTTAATAGAAAGTTTGTTTTTTTATTTAGCTTTTATTATCAGAGTAATTTAGAGAATCAGTTTATTTGTTCATTTAAATGTAGGTTTTAGTTTAAGTGAACTTAATATTCAGGCGATATGTTGTCCACAGTGAGTTTACTCTAACATAACCCAGTGGCACCTGCTGCCATAAGGCTCTATGCACTGCATGTACCCACCATGAGAGGGCGCGAATTAATGCAGCTTTTTATAAATTTATTTATTCATTACATGATTTAAATAGATTATTAAACAGAATACACTGCAATATTGACAAAGCAAGAAAGAATGAGAATAAATGAAGGTGTGCATTTGTGTTTTATACTGTGTATATACTTGCATATGCATGGTGAGAGATGGGTAGGGCCAGACAGAATCTGCGGATGTTTTTTGCTATTTCTGCTGAGAATTTTGGAAAAAATCTGTGGATTTCTGCGGAATTATTTTGTGAGTATCCAGCGGAGTATCATAACTAAAGCCTTAATATATGAAATAAAAAGTACTAAATTACTGAATAAAAACTTAATAAATTTAGATTTACACATTTACTAAAGTAAATAAACAGAATTAATGATGGGCTAAAAATCTGCAGAAAACTGCAGAATTCTGCGTGCGCAGATTCAGTGTGGGCCTAGAGATGGGTAAAGAAATCTATTGGCTTTAGTTTTGCTGGCTGTTTTTCTGCACACTAAAAAAAGAGACCAGCTGCAGAGCCAATGGAGCTCCAGCAAGGGGATGCTTGAGCTCCAACTCCTCCTCCTATAAGCTGTTTTAATATGTACACCCACCCAGGCACGTGCACACATAGGGCTCAACCTGTGCAGTGCACATGCCCTTTTTAGTCTTGGATATAATGTGCCCCCCCGACGCGACACACCCTCCGTCCCGCCCTTCAGTAGGCGCGCGACAACGCCGCTCTTGAGTACGCACGCTCAACCCACCCCCCACCCCCCTACCATTCAAGGTGTTTTAAACAATTTACATTTTATTTAGGCTGGATTATTATTTAATTTGCCAATCCAGTTCATGTTTTGGCATTGTTGAAGCATATAACGGACTTGTAGCAATTCACCTCAAATGTTGTCACTTCTTGTTCATCTTATCTAGTAGCATCATTTTATCTAGTAGATAACTAAACAACAAAATACATATTAACACTAAGAGACAAACTATATAAAAAATTGATTTTAAAAAGATTTTTTTTCTTCCAAGAAAAATATAGGAATTATATTTTAGCTTGAGCCTATCCATTACCCAATCGAGGCTGGATGACTTGTTTCGGTTAATAATGATTTAATTAATGCTTCACTTATAGTAACACAATCCTCTATCATATATTTGCAAATGTTTTAATATCTTGAATTTAAAGATTATGTATTGAGCGTCTGACTTTTCTTTGGTGCTGATGTGCTTTTATTACATTTAGATTTTAAAGAAAATATTTTATTATTAAAAAGGAAACTAATAATGTCATAACGGATGCCCTTAAATAATGTAGCCTTTGACAGCAAGCATTAGTGCTTTTTGTGATTGAAATAAGAATAAGAGAGGATGATTAGGCGGGGCCAGGGCCGGAGTGGGACTCCTTTTCAGCCCTGGAGTTTCAAGCCTTAGACTCGCCCACCTCAGTTCACGACTGACTATATTAAAATGACATTTTAATCCTTTTAGTCATTTTCCAATTCAGTTTCTAATGACACTGTCACGTCTTTTTTTAAGGAAACAGATGCTTTAGAACTTCAAATGTTTTTCAGAAATATGAGAAGATTAAAGGGGAGCTAAATCTCCAACACTATTCTTTAAAACATCACAATGTCCTTTCTTATATCTGAATATATATTCATGTGCAAAATTCTTTATGGATATCCAGTCCTTTGTAACGGTGGTCACACAAAAAATAAAATATGTACACCTACATAAGTAACCTAAACAGTATTATATGTCTTAACACTAAAAATAAATCAATAAATAAACTACTCAGGGGAGGTCCGAACTCGAGTTGGTAGCCTCGTGATGAAATGTGCTGACCACTGGACCACAATGGCGCTGTTATGTTGGTGCGTTTGAATAAATCTGCAAGACAGTAATAATAATTTACTAAGGTGAGGTTCAAACTTGGGTCAGCATCGTAACGCAACGTGCTGACCACTAGACCATAATGGTACTGTAATGCTGGTGTTACTTTCTATTGATGGCTTAATCTTTTTCTCCCCTTTATATTTCTGATCAAGTTATATCAGATTTATTAATGTAGTAAATCATCTGACTTTCATTGAGTAGGTGTAATATTCATTAATGCTAATTATTCGAATTCTTATACTCACTAAGGTGCCGCTGTTTGGGGTGGAATGATAGTTACCTCATCATTAACCTGCAGGCTGCCTTCTGCATATGGGGCTGCGAGAAAATAAATAAAAAGAGCGGAGCTGCAGCAAAATAATAAATTAAAAGATTGAAGCTATGGTCAAATAAAGAAATAAATGAAAAAGTGTGACTGCTGCAAGCAGCTAGGGACACCGGCCCTTGCGGCCAAAAACCAGACATGCCCACTGGGAATTCTCCCGGTCCTCCCGATTTGCCAATCCATGCCTGGATTGTGCTGCTGGATTTGTGCATAATTGGTATAAAATCCTGCAGGTGCCACGGGTGCATTGTACATAACCAGTAGGCTCTTCGTTTAAAGTTGTGACTATTTAAAAAGTTGACTAGATGTTTGCCCTTCCTCTAGTGTTTTTCATAGTTTTAAGTTCACCATGGGCAATTTTTTTCTTTATGTTCTCTATTGTAAGTTGCTGGAAATCTCTATGCATGCGACATCACTAGCGCTTTCGGGCCGCACGCATTAGATCTCATTAAACTTTTCTTCGGAAGTTTTCTAATGCAGACCCGAAGCCTGATGTGCATGCTACAGTAGCTATGATGTGAAAATTGGCTTGAAGCTCAGCCCTAGGGGCAAAAAAAAGTAAGACCCCATCAAACTCAAATGCAGGGCTCTACTCTACAGGTGTAAAGGTACAGTATGTGATACTGACAGCTAGTGGGCGCTACAATAGAAGAGCTCAGAGACAGGAGTAAGTTTCAGGAAGTTTATTGGAGCAAGCAACAACATGGCAATATGTGAGTATATCAGTAATAGTATTTGATTACAGACTGATTTATAAAATGATTAACAGAGTCTTTTATGTGAGTTCACACTGCATTTTAGCCCTAATTTGCATTCGAAGACAGGTTTGGAGAAATGGCAAGGCAAATCCGTGCCCATTCCCACAGTGTGAATGATCCAAAACGTGATCAGAGAGAGTCTTCAACATGTTGCTGCTAAATATTTGACATGCTAAATATCTGAACTAAAGTGATGCTATGATCAATGATTTCTGACTGAAAAAGACATAAGCAAAGATCAACAGCCAATGAGAGAGCAGGATTTAGGTCAGTGGAGAGTTTGTGAAGGAGTTTTAGACCACAATATCAGAATCAAAAAGCTTTACAGTAACGTTAAACTGAAACAACAGAGACTTTTGCTTGACCAGCCTCAGCAGAAGCACATTGCAAACTCATGTATTGACCTCCAACTCTTTTTATCCATTTTACTGCAAACTGGCTTAAAGATCATTGAATAGAAAAATATAAAAAATAAAATAAAATATTTACAGCAGAGTACACAGCAGCAACAGAACATTACCTGTCATGAACCGACAACTTAAGTAGCAATTAAGTGCATTGCAGGTAGATGAAGAGATCATAGATGAGTGACAGAGTGGAGTGAGCACACACATCAGATGAATGGTGGACAGTTAAGAAATAAATGAGCTAGGATTTGAATCTATACCATGCAATATATATGTTCAGAAAGACAAGTCTGTTGTTTGCATCATACTCTTGATGTGAGAAGATCATTTTTAGTTAAGCATTTTTTTACTATATACAGTTTTGCAGACAATTTTCTGTTTTCACTGGGCACCAGGGGTCTGAAATCTGTAGCAAAAACAACAATGGCAAAATTAGTATAAACACAAAGTATTTCTGTACAAGATCAGATAAATCATTACAACACAAAATAACCATGATTTTGGACCAAAATGAAGAATATTTAGTGTTAAAAATATTTCCATTGACCTGAATTTACCTTTTGTTTGGAGTATGCTGTTTAAGAAATCAACCAAAAATCCAATGGAAAAGGTCTTCACCAGAACCAACAATTGACCCAGCAGCTGCTCCAACAACAGGAACATAGTAACCCCAGTCACTAGCTCGCTTTGACCTGTAGGGTATACTGTCAATTCTTTTACGGTATTCCCACTCTGCTTGCTTTCTAGTTTCACGTTTTATTTCCTCCTTAAGTTTTTGGCTTTCTTTCTCATGTTTTTCTTCCAGGTATTTTATGTGTTTCTTCTGTTGTTCTTCCAGAGCCTTCTCCGTCCTCTTTTTCTCTTCTTCAAGCTGTTTCTGCTGTTCCTCCAGTTTTTTCTGCAGCTCTTTTTGTAGTCTTTCATCTTTTTCTTTCTTAATCTCCTCCTCTTCCTTTTCAAACTCCTCTTTGCGTTTTCTCAGTTCATCTTGCATCTCTTGTCTTTTTTGCTCAGTTTCCTTCTTCATTTGCTCCATTTCTGCTTCATATTTGTCTCTCATGTCTTCTTTTTTCCTATTGATTTCCTCTTCTTTCTCTTTCAGGATTCTCTTTTGTTCTTCTCTGATGTTTTTCTCCACCTGCTGAAACATCTCATTAGTGTAATAACCTCCTTCATTTACTGCCACCATGCGGTCAATCTTCTCCAGCAGTTCAGAGACCTGTGTTTGATCTTCAGTCTCTTTATTATTGAACACATGGTATCTGTTTCCACACTGATGGATGAGGTTCTGTAAGCTTCTGTCTCCTTCAATATAATCTTCAATTCTGGATCCTTCAAGATCGTCTCCTCTGGTGAAGAGCACCATGGTGTACATTCTGGATTTATCACCAAACATCTCTTGGGTCATCTTCACCGCATCTTTCTCCTCATCTGTGAACCGTACCAGTGGAATAACCAGCAGAAACACATGCGGTCCTGGTGCTGCCATTGACACACACTTCACAATCTCCTTCATGATCTGAGCATTATCAATTCCAGTGTCAAACAGGCCTGGAGTGTCAATGACACTTATGTGTTCTCTGCTGAACTCAGCAGTCTCCTTCTGACACTCTTTGGTCACTGATTGTGAAGTCAGCACTGATTGAAAAGATTTTCTTCTCAGTATAGTGTTTGCTGATGCACTCTTCCCAACACCTGTCTTTCCTAGCAGCACAATCCTCAGATCATCAGCATCATCATCTGCAAAGAGTAGGAGGAATATTTCTTTTAGAACCATTTTTAATTAACACTAGACTTGCACTGTATTTGGGGGCATCCTCACCCCCCTTGAAAGCCAAACTATTTAAATCTATTTTCTTTATATAATGCCTGTTTACAGCAGAAATCCTTTGATACCTGGGCTCAGCAAATGCATATATGCAGATTTGAACTCAAACTCAAATTGGTAGGGAGAGTTGCAGTTACTGAAACTCATAACAGGGCCTGTTACGATTTAAGTAGATGGATGGAAAATACACAGGAACACAAACTTAACAATCAATTTGTTTATTCCTCTTAGGAGGAGAAGAAAGATGAAGCCAACAAAACAGAGGCCTATGTGTGTGCGCTTTTTACAATGCATAAAAAAAAAAAAAAACAGAAATATATTCAAACCAAAAGTTTCAGGGAAAAAGGAACTAAAGTGGTGCTAAAGCAAAGAATCAAACAAAACCTAAAGCCACCTAAACCAGAACACAAGATTCCCTCTAAACTTCCTAATGAAAATCAAAATGTCAAAAAAAAAAAACCTGAAATCTTCAGCCTATGCTATGCCAAACATGAACTCCCTGAAATAAAAAAACAAAAAAACAAAATGCGGCGCTCACCCACTTACCTAGTGTTTCTGAACAGTAAAAATACCCGCAGGCAAAATGTATGCCGTGCAACTCTTAGTAACCTATTCCTTTTTCCCCAAAAAGAAATTATAAACTCTTTATTTATATTGACTTAATTTACAGTTGTGTATTCAGGGACACGGAACAAAACATACAGCATAACCAGAAACGAGCAAATACAAAATCAACACACACGCACATAGCACTCTGTAAAACAAGGCGTGTCGAATTTAAAGTTCACAGAACGAAGTCCGATTGGTCCACAAGGAAATGCCCTAATAAGGGGTGACAGGCTTGGGATCCAATCAGCAGGTAACTGGTAGAGAGAAAATAGCAGAAAAAAAGGTGATAGGGCGACACAAAGAGCGAATGACAAACAAGGAGAGGGAGAACGAGAGCGAAGGGAGACCACCAAAAACAGAGAGGGAGAAAGCACAAAAATACAAACTCCCATGGACCTTTACAGGGCCATTTTAACATTCAAGTACAAGAAAGTGCATTCCTGATATAATTGATGCATCTTAGGACAACAGACAAGATGCTTTATAAATGTAATTAACAGCGTTTTCAAGCATTACCCATCACCAGTGATAATGCAAATAACACAGCTTCTGAAGTGTATGGGTATATAATGCGTCATACACCGGATGCGCTGCTCGGCAACACGCCACACCATGTCATACATTTTAGAATTATAAACATAGATTTCTATAAGGGTATGCACACCGGCACTGCAAGTCATTGCTGTCCGCTGCGCCCAGCTACAACTCAGGACACTGTTCATATTTCTGCCGCGCCACAGAGCGCCATCTGAATAGTTTCATATTAAACAACATGCGAATGTGTGTATCTGGTGTGCGATACTTCCAACTGTCATATGTGCACCAGGTACCGGCGCATCCAGTGTGCGACCTGCTTATGGCTGAGCATTAATCTGAGTAAAATCTTTTTTTTTCTTGTTGTACATTGAAGATGTAGTTTAAATTGCTATGAAGCAGAACAGAATAATAATTATGATTGTCTATTATTTGTTGGAACCAACTATTGCTTAAACAAAAGTTTAGCAGATAGTGTACTCCAGATAAGAACAGCAGAAAGCAGTTTGGGTATCTTTACTGATTTGTAGTTTTACACAAAATAAAGGTATTGAGAAAACAGTAACAAAAAAAGCATGCATATATTCCTATTTACAGTACTTTAATGTGTTTAATTTTTACTAATGTAGTTTTTATACAAATTTTATTGACTGTCCTTGTCCGATAACTTTAAAATGACAAACACCATACATTTCTCTAAATTTAGGCTAAAACACTGCTTTATTTGTTTATTTATTTGTGTTTGAATGTACATGTTTGTACTTTCATTTTTAGTTGTCTTTTATTTCTTTTTTTTTCATTTCCAAAAAGAATCCTTATTGCACTTTACACTAGTTTACAATAAAAATAAAGCTTATTAACAAGTTTTAATGATTATTAGAAAATTATAATGCTTTGTTTCTAGCCGGGTGTTAACAGCTACTGTATATTTCTGATTATTCGCATCCCATACTTTTGTGCCCCTTGGCAACTGTTGCGTAGGTATGCTATGCAAATCGGGGTACTTCCAAATGCAGCTTTATTATGTAAATGGTCAAACAGGCAGGGGTCAAAAACCAGCATTAACAGTGTAGTAGAGAATCCAGAAGCGTGTATGGTGAAAGGTTCAAGGCAGGCAGCAAAGAATCAAAACCCAATAAACAGTAAAAAAAGTAAAAAAAAAAACAGGAAACAGACGGTGGAGCGGAGGTGGACCAGGGGGAGGGATGGAGGGCCATGATCATGCAGCGGAGGTAAAACTTGAATGTAGAGCTGCAGAGGGCCTGGAGCATGAGGCTGCGTAGGGTCTGGAGCGTGAAGGGTGGAGGATTTAGGTTTTCTGGCACAGTCAGTTCATTTAACCCCCGTGGGTTAGGAGGCTTTGGTTCGAGAGGCAATGGCAATTTGTATAAACCCCTGTGGGTCAGGAGGCTTTTGGTTTAGGAGGCCTTATAAGACTCTAGCGGCTCTGAGAAGTTACATTACTCTGACAGCTCTGGGAGTCCAGATGGCTCTGGCAAGTCACATGGTACTGACAGCCATCCGTGGCGGCTCTGGCCTTTCGTGGAATTCGTGGAAGATCTGGAGCGCCTGACCATTCAGGGAACTCAGGCAGCGAGTACCATTCAGCAAACTCAGGCAGCGAGTACCATTCAGGAAACTCAGGCGGCAGACATTCAGGAAGCTCAGGTGTTGACCATTCAGGAAGCTCAGGCAGCGGCGTTGCTTCTGGCAGCTCTGGCTCTCGGCCATTTTGTGAGCTGGAGGACTGGAGGTGGCCATCTTGTGAGCTGGAGGACTGATAACCTGGAGACAGTAGTATGGGTGATGCCAGGATTATGGTGTTAATGGAGGGAACAGCAAGCCCCGTTGCCAGCGGGTCTTGCTGTCTATTGCCCCCCCCAAAAAACATTTAGGGGTTTCCTCTTCTACTTCACCAACAATGAAAGGGGAGCCAGCAGTAAGCAGGGCAAAGTCCAAAAACTGACAGAGCAAACCATAAGAACTATTACGGATGAGAGGGGTTTTAACTGGTGCATTTAAACCACAACAAAAAAGTATATTAGTGCAAAGTCTGGGTATTTACAGAGATTTGCATTGTCCAGATAGTCTTTAATGTGGTCCTCGAGGGAAGGCTTACCTTGCTGCAGATTTACTAGCTGTAAAGCTAGGACTAGGATAGGACTAAATGCAGCTTTATTTATTTAGTTGCAGCTTTATTTTAAGAATGGTCAGATAGGCAGGGGTCAAAAAGAGTATCAGCTGTGAATGTCCAATAAGTCAGGATCTGGAACCGGTTGTCAGTTTGTGTGTGTTGCATGACTGGGTTTTGTAGTCCATTGAGGCAGGATTGTAGTTCGTGTGAGTGTGAATGTTTTCCAGCAATCTCCAGTGGTTAGATCGTGACAGCAGCATTGACACAAACTGCTGTTACACCTAAAAATATTTTATCAATTATTTTGTCCATCGGCAGTGTCAAACACAACGTTGGTGGTCATTTTAAACTGTCACTCACTGTACTACACATATAATTAACTTGTCCCGTGCTTCATCTTTAAATAAGAGTAAGTATGATATGAGCTCAAAATGGTACCTCATAAACCAGGTACAAGATGTGAAGTATAAAACTGACCTAGCCACTGCAGTGATTATAACAGGACTTGTGAAAGTGCATAATGTAAGTCAAGGTAGAATAAATATTTTAAAAACAAACCAGCTCAAGTAGGCAAGGGTGGACGCACATAGGCAGCTCCTTATAAATACTTTTGTATCTTGCTAAAGCAAAAATTATCATTATAAAGTGGTTTAAATATGTGTTTCTCTACCATGTTCCTGGGGGACCACCAGCTCTGCACTTTTCAAACACACCAGATTAAGTTCAGCAGCTTATTAGCAGAGACTATAAGACCTTAAGGGTGTGACAGACAAAGTAGACTTCTAAAACATCCAGTGTTGGTGGTCCTCCAGGAACATGGTTTAGAAACACTGGTTTAATTGACAAAACACATGCTCTCCACTGAACATGGTGGCTACATGTGCAGAGACTTGTTTATGACGTCATAAAAAGTGAAGCCACTGTGTCTCTATATTCATTAATCCCACACATTATTCTCGCTAAATTGGTCTCTTTGCTAGCCTCGATCATATTAATGCAAAGAGAAACTGTATGCATTACACAGCAAATAGTGAGATCTTCTGTTTTTCTTGAACTATTCCATTCTAAAACAAATAAATAAACGCAATCATTACATTACGAGACAACTATTTAATTACTTAAATGGAAAAGCCTTTTTTTAATTATAGGTAAAAAAATAATAATAATAAATTCACTTTCTTTAGGTGTGCGTTCGCTTCCTCTTAATTCTGCAACTTCCTCCTAAATGCACCTGATCTTCATTTGTTTAAAAATATTAAAATAATCACTATAAAGAATAGAGCTTAATATACAGAAAAACCATCCATGCTATCATGTATTCTAACATGAATATTATGTTATTTCATCTCTTCATATAAAATTATCTGAACATTGAATCCATAAGCCTCAAAACACTTTTATCAACATCACAAAATTAAGAACAGACATGAGAAGACTCACCAGACTGTCTGGATAATGCGCTGCTCTCTGCCATCTTCACAAAACATTTAACAAGACATTAAGAAATAAACCATTCTAGCCGAGTGATTAAACCGCTGCATGATTATTAATGAAAGTGCGCATGTACTCTACAGCAAAAACTGGTTGGACTTGAAATTGGAGAACTTGCGTCATATGATCTTATCAGTGTGATCTTTTGTAACAGGTATGAAAATTATAGTCCACTTCATTTATGGAAATACACAAAACATGTTTTTATTTTTTACCTGGCATGTTTATTAAGTATTCCTGAGGTGTTTGTCATTGTTTGTGTCTTCTCTTTAAATTTATAAGGAAGCTTGAGTTGTTTAATTTACTGTTTTGCAGCCACTTCTTCTCTTTCTGCACATGGGAGAGGAGGGTATCTGCTAAGCTTTAATTAATCTTAAATCCTCTTTACCTTAAACATCACTTTTGAAGCTAGTTTTTCCATGTTTAAATAATATTTATAGCTTTATATTTTTCATATATTTAATTAATTTTGTGTTTTCACTTTAATTGAGGTTTTAATTTATTTGTGTCTAACTGAAGCATGTGAATGCTAAATGCACTGCATTTTACAGAGGAGTTATAAGACACACTGTAAACTGTGCTTTTGTTTACATCAGGTGTGTTTTGTCACTTATTATGAAGTTAATAATATGTGTTTTATTCTTTCTCTTCCCATCTGCCCTTTCTGCATTGACTGCACATAAGAGAGAGGAGGTATAAGGGCGAAGACACACTGTAAAAGCTGTGCATTATGTTTATAT